GACAACTAAGAACTATTTAGGCTTACATAGCACACAGGAATTATTCTTCAATTATTTTTTGAGGGAATATTTTTCTTCTACAAAAAAAAAAATAAAAAAATAAAAAAAATCTACAAAATAATTCTAATTTTATTTTTTAAAAAACCGATAAAAAATATAATAAATAAAATAAAGAAAGATCCTATTTCAAAACAATCAAGTTAAAAGATGTTCAAGGTTATTTTGTAGTAGAAAAATCTTAAAGATTATATACTAAGTCATTAAGAATAAATAATTATAAAAATAAAATTTTAAAAACATAATAAAGAAATTTGTGTTATGATAATATATAGAAGCACAAATTAAGAAATTTCAAATTAATTTATAAATAATTTAATATTAAATATAAGAAGCTATGAAGAAAATATGAATAATTGATGTTAAATTTCATTTTTTTTCTATCAAGTATTAGGTTTATAAATCAATTGGTTTATGTTAGTAACATACTTATATAACAATATCCAAAAAATACTTTGTTCCAATCAATTAAGTTGTGCTTGAGTATTTATTAGTAATATTTATAGTTTCATTGATGATATTTTAAAATGTTTTTTTATAAAAAAATTTGAAATTATTTTTAATTAATAAAATAAATAAATATTTATATTTTTAAGATAATAAAAAATTTAAATATCAAAAAATAAATGTTATATTAAATATTTTATTTTTATCAATGATCAAATTTTTATTTATTATTTAAATATATTCTTGATTTTAGATTTATAAAATAAAAATTAATTTTAGAATTTTTTTTTTTATTATAATATCTAAGCTCTTATTTGTATAAAATTATTTTTAGATTGATTAGTAGTGGATTTATATTTATCAAAAGTAGCCTCACAAAAATTAATAGTCATGTTACGAATTTTTAAAACAAATAAGATTTGGCAATATTTATTCTAATGTGTCATTGATATATATATTTATTCCAATAATTACCTATGTAATTAAATAGAGATAGATAAAAATAGATTAATTTCATAATATCTTATAGAGATGCTTCTTAGAAGCTTCATAGATATTGCTTTGATTTTACACATGCTTGTAATTAATTGATAGATAAGAAACTTAATCAACAAGTTAGCCACATGACACACATATCAATAACATGTGGAACAAACTGACTATATAGTGCACATATAGATAACCTGCCTTGTAAGTAAAGTCATGTATCTAGCAAAGTCAATATGTGTTAGGGGTCCTATAGAATATCACCACATAGCTTCTAGTTAGAGAGTATATATGGAGTGAAGCCTTCTTTACTCTTGTCAACACCTTTGTAGTCCTTAGTCTTATTTCAAGACTATCTAATCTTCTTGACTTTGGCAATAGTCATTCTAATTCAATATATTACCATTACTTGAAAAGATTAAGATATATAATTTTTATAATAATTAATAATATATAAATATATAAATATTTTATGAGATATTAATTTAAATTTGAATAAGTTCTTGATACTAGTTAAGAATAGGACTTAAGATCAAAAAAATAATAAAATTTAAAACATATAAGCTAAGATATTTGATTATTTTTTCTTTTTAAACCTATATTTTTATCTACAAGTCTTAAAACAAAGTTTTCTAATATATATTAAAAAATTCAATTTATTCTTTAAAAATAGTTTTTTAAATCTTTACTTTGTATATATGTATATATATATATATATAATAAAATAATAAAACTTTATCACATTGATTTATATAAGACTAAAGATATATTTGATGTATCTTATCTTTGATGTATCTTATCTTTCTTCAAGGAAGTAAAATAATGCATAAGACACTTTTAATATACTTTTGAAAAAGAAATTACAAAACGAGCTCTAATTTTCAGATGTGGAATATTGTCATGGACATACACATGTAAACCAATAATTACCTATATGATTAGATAAAAGTAAATAAAAATAAGTTAATTCCATAATATCTTATATGAAAGCTTCTTAGAAGCTTTATAGACATTGCTTTAATTTTATATAATTTAATATACATACTTCTTTATTTCCATTTTCTTATACTTGTTTATTTACTTTCATCAAGTTCATTTTCTTGACAAATATTTACAAAATATGATTGATGATAGGATATTACCTCTTAAAGCTAGAAATTAAATACATTTATATAAAAGATAGATGATTATACTTTTATACATACCTTTCTATCACGACATTAATGTATTGGTTTTGAAGATAATAAGTATTTTGTAATGCCTATATTAAAAAAAACTTGAGTTTATAAAAAGGACATGAATTTTAAGATGTTATATGATATCAAAGTTTTTTTAAGTCTTTGGCATGTTGTTAAGCTATTTTAAAACTTGATAGTTAAGAAATTTATTAATCTATAATAAGTCACTTTTTAAATTTATTAAATTAAAAAACTTGTTAAACTACAAAAGAAGTTGACAAAGTCATTTTGTTATTTTAAAGAAGTGTAGAATATTTATAGTGTAATTCAAAAAATATATTATTTGACCACAATCTTATATTTGATAATGTATATAACTAAGCTAGGTAAGAAGTTGATTGGTATTACTTATAAGCATTACAAACTAGCTTTAAATCAAATTGGATAATTATTTTTATGTTTATTTAAAATCAATTATATTTATATTCCAAAATTACAACACATAAAAAAATTACATTTTTGTAGCTAACATGGCGTAGAAAGATTGTAATAATTGCATAAAGAGCTCAAAGTAATTTTTACATATCAATAGACAACACACTTCGTATAACTTGCAAACAAACACACACACATATATATATATATATATATATATATATATATTAAAATAATAAAATAAAAATTATAATATATATGTACATATATATATACATATATATATATATATATATATATTTATTTAGGAGTGTTTTCAAACTTATTGTATAGTAAACTAAGATGCATCTTTAATATGTAAGCTAACTTCTATTCAAATCAAAGGTATTTATGATCATTAATAAATAAATAAATAAATAAATAAATAAATCTATGGAAATATATAATTTTCCATCAAAATCATGCTTAAATTTTATTTTTTCAACATTAATCTATTCTTTACTTTTTAAAGAAAATCTATGCTTTTTAAAAATTCAGATTCAACAAATTATTTGTATCTTTATAAATAAGATATGAAGCAACCTTCACACAATAACAATAATTCTAAGTTGATTTAGAATAACACAAAAGAATAGGAAATAAAATAAAAAATAAAATAAAATCTAAAAGATCTAAAAAATATCTTATAATAATTAATTAATTAATTAATTGAAACTAGAAAATTGTGTCTTTTACACAATTAAGTTGATTTAGAATAACATAATGGAATGTTAAAAAAATATACATATAACATCTTGGAATAATGAATAAACAATAAAATGAAAACTAGACAGTTGTGAGACATTTATAAAGTTAAGTTGATTCAGAATAACATGATAGAATATGACAAAATTTTCTTTAAAATGTCTTGCAATAATTAAATTATGAATATATATATATATATATATATATATATATTACAACTTAAAAATATAAAAATGTGAAACATCTATTTGTAGGAAAAAAATTTAAAAATAAAACAAAATGGATAACCGAAAGCATGTTTAGGATGAAAGTTGGTCATACAAAGATCCTTGAGACAATTGTCATGCAGAATGTGGCAAAAAACTCAGGAAGTAAAAGAAAACTTTAGGCTCTAGACAAGCTATGAATGTTCTTTGTTCTAGACTATGTACTACACGTAAGATTTAGGGTTTCATATGAGGATTTAAGATCCAATGTAACCTTTGCTCAATTAGTGTAGAGTTTCGGGTAAAAATCCAACTTTTGCGTCCAATAGAGTAAGGAATGCCAAGCTGCGAGAGTGAGTATATCTTCCATCGTGGATACGCGTGAGCCATGTCGGATGCAAGCGAGAAAGGGAAAGAAAAATGCATCGATCCCTTCGGCAAATCGAGTAAGTGAGTGAGTAAGAGTGAGAATGAGTGAGTGGGGGCGTTGAATGCATGTCGTGGTCGAGAAAGGTTCTAAAAAGAGAGACGACGTCGCACCAAGTGTGGTGAAAAGCAGGGCATCCATCTGAGTCTCTTTCCCATCGCGGCACCCCATATCCACATCTCCGCACCTTCTCATTCCACTCTATAACCCAACGCCAGTGTAAAAAAGAGCAAAGTGCACTTTGATTCTCAGTTGCAAAGTTCGAGGAAGCCGTGACTCCATCGGGAGAATTTTTCCTGTCCCGACCTCTGCATGCAAGGAACCATGCAAGCAGCACCAAACGGCAAGGCATCGCGCGCACCTCGACTCCCATCTCGAGGAGCTTTGGAGGTATTCATTCTTCTACTCCCTTCTGTGCGGCGCTCGATATTCGAGGGGTGGTGACTGCTAAATTTGGGAGCAGAGGTGTGACTCAGCCAGCCAACGCCTTGACTGTGTGTCCACTTTGGCAACCTTCGGAAACCGTTGATTGTCCACTACAAGTTCATGTAAATATCTGGGCCCCCCTGAAAGATTCGTCGCCTCAACGGCTACGCCCACATTTTATTATCCTTAGGTCTCGAATTTCCGTTCGCCTCGAATCTGCGTTACATTTAATGAGCTGTTATCGGTGCATGATGGTGTGGCGGGGTTGATGCGATTTAAAGCTTCTATTGCAGAGCTGTCACTTCGTTTTCCGTTCTACACTTGCCACCGTTCATGCGCATGAGGGTCCATGTCAGAAGATTTAGTGGGCTTGTAGGAAGCAGGCATGGCTTACAACGAAAGCAGGTCAGAGGATAAACGAATTTCATAATGACAAATAAGACAACACATTAAGTTTCAGTGCTTTGTCGTGGCGCAGCAAAGTACCCTTCAAACCAGACCGCAATGCACTGCGAAAGATGTTGACTAGGTGAATATGCACAAGACTTGACAGTAGAGATCAATTGCAAAGAAGGGATTATATGAGTCGGCACGAAAGGGATCAAACGCTGCCACAAATAAATACGAATAGGGTATTTTTCCGTGACAAGTCATGTATTTATAATTCTCAAGAGTTGCACAAGATCCCTTGGAGGCTAACCGTATCCTATGCACGGCCAGCGTGAGACAAATATTACAGTGGACTCCAATACATGGGAGTCTTTATGCGTTCCAACTGAATTTGACCCCTCCAAAGGCTCTCTGTCATGAGACCGTCCGTACTTACTGCAGGAAAAACGCTTACCTGAGAGAGAAAGAGAAAGAAAGAGAAGAGGAAAGGAGAGGAGGGTAAAAATTCACATAATCATACAAACAATAATGGAGGCTGGCCACAGCCAACAGAAAAAAATTCCCCTCGCCCTGCCTCAAGAAACAAGAGCATTCTACTTTTCTCTCGGCCCAAAAGCTAGTGTCAACTCCTAGACGCAGCCACCAAGTGCAACTGTGTAGCAATCAACTGTGAAGCCTGCAAGTGCAGTTCATTCTCTAAACGATTCCCCTTTTTTATTACCATACCTGCAGACTATACTCTTACTTTCAAGCGAATTATCAGAATGACTGATTCCGCGAGTAGTCCTTCTGAATATAATCTGCGCTGTCCGGACGGCGCGGTGAGTTGGCCCCAGGCGAGAGGGACGGTGAGTCCCCATTCTCCAGCCCAAGAGTGAGCTGCTGGCTTTCCAACCAAATATCTTCAATTGTCACAACCGCGCGAGTGTCGTCCGTTCCTTTCACAGCGCCACTCAAAATTGGGGTCGAGACTACCCTCACCATGTATGGCCTCTCAAAGGGAATGTCCAAAGCTTTACCCGGAAACACATCGTCCTCCACTCCCGATGTGGCAGCACTAGAAATTGCTGTGCCACTAGACTCTTCAACAACGGGGAGGACGGAGCTGTGCTCATCTTGCTGGCTGGAAGATTCACTGCACTCTGCCTCCTCTTCCCAGCGCTTCGCAGGCTCCTGCAGGCTTTTCAACTGCGCCACAACTTCGTCCATCGTCGGACGTTGGTGTGGGGAAGTTTTTGTGCAGTCCAGGGCCAAGTAAAGCGCTTTCGTCATGGCTTCTTTATTAGCATCCTTATCAGCGCAATCCAACATTCTCACATCAAAGAAATCTGGGGTGCTGCCCATTCGCCGCTGCACCCAGGCGATAATGTCAAAGTTCCTACCCATGGACGGGTCCTTTCCGGTGAGCAATTCCAGCAGCACAATCCCGTAGCTGTAAACATCGCACTTAACTGTCAATCTGAGGCTCTTCTGGTATTCAGGAGCAATGTACGCTTTAGTTCCTGCGATGAAAGTGGTAACGTGCGTCTTGGCCGGATCAATAAGCCTGGCCAGACCAAAATCGGACACCTTGGACTCAAAATCCTTGTCCAGAAGGATGTTGCTGGCCTTCACATCCCGGTGGATGATCCGAGGGTCCCGATTGTGAAGATATGCTAATCCTTCCGCCGCCCCCACTGCAATCTTGAGTCTAGTGTTCCAATCTAAATGTGCTTCCTTGCTGCCTGGATTGCGTCTCATGTACTTGTTGAGACTCCCATTTTCGAAGTATTCATATACCAGTAGCTTCCCATCCTTCGTCCTGCAGTATCCCAGCAGTTGGACTAGATTGGGATGGTGGCAATTGCCCACTGTCTCAATCTCTGCGCGGAACTCACGATCGCTTTGCTTCCCTCTTCCATAGAGTTTCTTTACAGCCACAACTCTTGAGTCCGGCAGAGTGGCTTTGTACACCTAAAACCCATAAACAAAGAAGAAACAGAGTTAATACCTTGATATATTTGAAATATTTGACATCGTCTGCTCAACATTCCATCTACATGACAACTATATATATATATATATATATATATATATATTCAACGAAATGAATGAAACGACAATTTCAAGATGGCGGTTCATGAGAGAGTGTGTCAAGACAAAGTTCGTTTATTTTTAACGAGTACCTTTGCAAAGCCTCCCACCCCAATGAGATATTTCTTGCTGAAACCAGCCGTTGCTTCTTCAAGCTCTTTGTATTTAAAGGTAACATTAGATTTAAGTGTAAGCTGTTTTTGTAAATGTTCAACGCCATTAATGCCCTTGGGCCGCTCGATATCAAATCGTTTATTCCACACAGTCCAGATCGTCCAGCTCTGGAAAAAACTGGAGAGTTGGCTGCCCAGGTAAACATAAATAGGCGCGACGCAGGAACACATTAGAGATACCGAGGTAGTTCAGTTAGAACTCGATCGATAGTTTCTTGGGAATCGATTCACGGACTTGGTTGTCCTGGAGGGAGACTCTCTCCCCTATCACATAAGGGTTCATCACCAATGAACATCCCCGGAGTAAAAAAAAGACAAAAAGTCAAAAAGAAAAACACGGACACTCACACAACGCAAGCACAAACACTATGATTTCATGCACGTCAAAACCAACATGCTTGGACGCGATCGTTCCGAGACGCACGGCACAGAAGCCCCTCTCGCCACCCCCTCTCCCTCCCCAGAATAGAGAAACCCCCGGCACTAAAACTCGCCGTAATACTCAGGAACCAAACAAAACAAATAAACACTAAATAAGCAAAAATAAAAGTAAGCGACCAAGACCTCACAACCGACTGCACCTCTCCACAGTCCTCAAAAACACCAGGACTCGAGTTCAAATAGCACGGAAACGAGACATAGCAAGCAATTCCGCCCGCGGCGAAAAGGAATCGTACAAAGCGAAGTAAAAATACGCACTATTGAACCCTCGAGAGAAAGACAACAGGTGCTCTCAGAACGACTACAATCGGCCTCTAAGTCAACTAAACGAAGACACAAACGAAGCTTAAAAATGTCCCGAAGCCTACAAACAAATCCCGCCGTGGAACACGAAGGTCGCGAGCGAGCGAGCAGAAAGCACAGAAGCGAAGGCGAAGAGAGCGTTACTGCAAAGTAAAGCGAAGCAAGACACGAGAGAACACGAGATGACGAGAGAGACTGGAGGAGAAGTGGTGAAAACGGGGGACGCTGCGTTCACAGCAAGGGAACATGTGAACATGGGAACAAAGCACCCCGGGGCAGCGTTCCCGAAGGGGCCGATGTGGCAAGAGTGCCAGCGCGGCTCCCCAAATCGAATCTGGACTTCAGTTGTGGTTGCCGTCACAGGATGCTACTCGGCACGTTCGTGACGCCCTGTCAGCCTGTCCGTGTCCACCTGGCACATTCCCGGAATGATTGCATGGTTGGATCTGCCACGTCGGATAGTTTTTCCGGGGATGAGCACATCTCGCCTTCCAATCACGGTCCCCCCTTTGCCTGATTTTTTGAGGGCGCTAGAATGCAATGGTCACTCTGTGTTGTGGGGCTCCTCTTTTATGCCCTAATTTTGGTGGCTCTTGCCTCCCTAGATTATAAGTATATTTGAGGTCTGCATCTCTCCATTTCCCCCTATTCATTTATTGTATGTGAAGACATTGTTCTGGGTATGACTTGAATGGTGTAGACTTGGCCAAGTATGTCATGTGAGATTGGCATGAGTAAGTCGCAGTTTTGTAGTGTGTAGTCTTTTGTTTATATGAGGGACACTTCAACTAATTGGAACATTTGGAGATAGAGAGGGAGAAAAGAAAAAAAGTGTGCATTAAGTTTGATTATAAAAGGAATATGACATAATAGGCATGGAATACATGAGATGGAATTTAAATTGTTGATCTGGTATGCAATTTCCATCAATAGAGCAAAATATCAACCAGTGTATGAGAGTACATGGGAGTTATCCATGCATTCTACCAATGTTTAAATTTTTGAACACTTACATGATAAAATAAAACAATTAAATAAATACACTAAGTATATTTATATGCATCCATCCATAACACCTACATGTATGGATTCAAATGTCATAAAATAAAAGTAAAGAAACAATTGAAGAACCATTTCTAACAATGTTACATATAAGAACAAGTGTGTTTGTTCTTTAGATCTTTTGAAGTTTGGCATGATATAAGAATGACGAGTTTTTAATCATGGTAACAAAAATACTGTTTACAATTGATTTCAAAACAATAATACAGACAAACCCTAAAAATAACCATGGCCTTCCATTCATGTGGCTCCACAGATTCATGTGCTTGAGAAGCTGGGAATGGGCAGGAATTGGCAGCCTTTGAGCCTCAAAAGGGGCATGGCTTCCACAAAGAGTCCAAAATTAGGTTTTCTAACTCAATTGGTTTGCCAAGTGTAAGGTCCCCAATCTCCTTAAATATGCAAAGATTTTAAAAATGAAATAAAAATGATGCTCACTATGTAACACCAGAATTCCATCCATATTGACCCAAACGGATTTCTGTATATATATATATATATATATCTATACACATTAACGAATAGAGAAAGGGAGACTCATGTCGCCAATTCTGCCAAAGCAGGCCACAAGTGCTGACGTGGATTTCAGTCTTGTGCTTTTGCAGGCTGTCTGCATGAACAGGCTTTGTTTGTGATTTTTTTTTGTTAGTTTGTTTGTCCTTCACAAGTGCAGATGCAGCCATCTCTGAAGTGCCCATGTTTTTATAGCCAGTAATATATTTTTCCAAAAGGGCATGTTCTCTGTCCATTTGTTGCCTTGATATTGCATACACAAAACTAAGCTATAAAAATAAAATAATAAAATAGTAGAATAAAAACAGACAAAAAATAAAGTAGGGCATCACAACCTCCCAGGCCATGTGAGTCAATTCCAACAACTGACGGCTGAACATGAGAAAAAAAAAGAAAAAAAAAGAAACCCTAAAAGGTACAATGACAGAGGAAGTGTGAAGTATCTTTCATTATACCCCCCCCCCTTTCCTCTAAAGATCTATGGTCTAATACTTGTGTTTATATATATATATATATATATATATGAATAAATAAATATAATGTATAATATATTGTGCATGGGTATGGACGTGCAACAAATCATTGGCTCCATTCTCCCATGTAAATTCCACCATTAGTTTTGTACACATGATTATATGCAAAACACACATGTGACAAAGGCATGCATTTGGTTTGTATTAATTCTATTTATTTCCATGGTTCTTATGTTGACCTCCATTGGCCCTCATGCACACAATCAGTAAGGAAAATGGTATCCCATGAAGAATATTCCTAATGGTCCAATTCTCTTATGCAAATTATGCTTTGCTTTCAATTTGCTTTCAGGGTTGCCATGTGGCATATGATGCAAATATTTCATTCTCATTCCTTGTCTTATTTGCTTTTTTGGGTGGGCCTTGTTTGATGGTCAAATGCTTTGTGATAGAGTTTTATTGAAAATGGGTGTTGAAGTGAACATGCTCTTTTTGTCTTTCAACGAAATATACTTTCTTATGAGAAATTGGTGTCCTAACAAAATTGTAAGTGTGAGTGTCTTAGTATAAACCCAAATGTTTGTTTAATAAGTTTTTTAAAACAGAGTTTTACTTCTGTAAGTTATGGCTATAAAAATATAAAAACAAACAAACAAACAAAATTCTGGCAATACAGAATATTACAACTGATTATTTTGTAATTTTATGATTATGGCTTATTATTTTGCTCATTCTTACAAGAAATAAGATGTGAATGTGTGTGTCCATGCATGAGTGTGTGTGTATGAATATATATATATATATATATATATATTCATGCACATACATGTAAGTTTTGAAATATTATAATTCATATAAGTTATACTTTAAGTAAATATTATAATTCATATAAGTTATACTTTAAGTAAATATTATAATTCATATAAGTTATAGTTTAAGTAAATTTTAGTTGATAATTTCTTCCTATACCAATTCTTTGAATTCATAAAAAGCTGCAAATGATAAGGATACACCTAGCATTTTAAGAGAAAAATTATATATATATATATATATATATATATACACACACACACAGGAGAATGTTTAAATAGACCCATGCTTTTAGTAAATAGTCCATCTCTTGATGAAGAATGTGGTAAGCATGATGAATATGGTTGGTTTATATTGGTTGCAGATCCAATAGTGGAGAAATGAATCTATTTCTTTCTTTATTATTATTATTAATATTATTATCTTCATGATGGTTAGAATGGATGGGTCAGTTTAGTAGCAACTTAGGTCTATTTTAACATTTTCCTATATATGAATATATTTATGTATATATATACAAATACATGTATACACACATCCACAATTCTCAAAGAAGTGTTGTTTCAAAGTCAAGAAACACTACCTTCCAATTTGAGATTTGGATTTGATGATTTTGAATGTACTTTGAAATGGTATTAACCAACTAAAACAGAGTTGGTTATATGTACATTCTCCCATGCAAATGTATTTTTTTAATAACTTTTCAATATACTTCCATTCTTCTTCTTATTAGTATTACTACTACTACTATTACCTACTCCAGAGAATAAATCATACATTATTTTTATTTACAAACATTCACGTGGTATTGCACAGAAAAACAAAGAATGCCATGCTGGCACACAAGCAATTGTGGGACTTATTGCAAAAAGCTTTCGAATTGCTGATTCATGGGTCTCACATCAACTGAATCTTTGCCTTTTTTGGACTCTAAGCATGCAACACAACTCCAGCATTTGGTTGAAGATCTTTGTGAAAAGAATTCAATTGTGATGAAGAAGTAAAAATATGTCTACTTCTTAACTTTTTTGCTAACTAATATTAAGAAAAAAATTACTTAACTCTTGAGGGACCCACATGTTGTCATCAATAATTTGCTCTTTGGCCACCACATGTGTTGGATGTGAGTGCTCATTTTTGCAACAACAACAACATCAACAACATCACAATGCAGAAAGACAGACAGAAATAGAGCAATAGTTGTGTGTCACAACTCTAATCAGCATTTGCCTTTTTTTTTTTTTTTTTTTTTTTCAAAATGATTGTTTTTATGATTGAATCTGTAAATATAATTAGATGCAACGTTGGAAACAATTGATTCTTTTTACGTTAGCATCTTTTTGCCATTTGATCATGGACCAATCATGCTCATTGTACCTAAACTCAATTGTTTTCTTATTCTATCACATCAATTTAATATTTGTGATTTTCATGTTTAATATATACCAGTATATACTGTTTTATCAAATTGAAAGCATTGTGTAAGTGTTTTTATTTTTATTTTTTTATCAAGCTAATCAAAGTACTTGAATCATCCAAAAGAACTTTTAAATTCTTTACAAATTTTGTAAATGCAGATATTGAAAAATTGATTCAAAGAAAGATCGCTGTCTAATGTAACTGGGTTTATTACAAGAATATAATATGAACAATGAGCAGACTAATGATGCTTTAATTAAATGCAGTTTTTATATGTTACTACGTTCTCAGCTCATTCTACACATTTAAATTGGAACTAAAACTAAAAACGTACAAATCAAACTGGGGTGGCAACACATGAAAAAGTACCAAGTTGCACAAAACTTTGCACTTTCCAGTGACTAAGAGGAACAATGAGGTTGGTTTCAAGTAGATTCTCTGTTGGAGCTCATTGAAGTCAATGTTGTGACGCACCACCAACCTCAACCAAAGGAGCGAATATACCAAGCCAGATATGCCACAATCCATCACAGACATGAAAAATAATGTCACCTCACAAAAGATCCAGACTAAGATGGGTGTGCCTCCAAACAAGAGCACGAGTCCACTTTGCAGGAAACCAGCACAATTTGAAGCAAATCAGAGTCTACTTTGACTTGAGTGTCTCCTACTCACCACCAAGATGGAACGCTGCAGGTCTTCAGTTCTGCTATTTTTCTATTTCGGAAAGAAGAGTTAGCAAAAAAGCAAAAAAAGCAAAAATATAAATATAAAAAATAAAACAAAACAGGGATGACGGATACAAGTACATAAGTTGGGAGTTCCTAGGCTGCACACGGAAATCAGCTGCTATGGAGGGCTCAGGTTTGCGTAATGCCAGCATCGCGTGCTATCTGGCTCCATTTCAATGCCTGAGACTACCTGTGGCAGGCCCTACTTGTGTCCTGACCAATTTCACACCATGCGTTCAAAGCTCCGCTGAAGTTGCACCAGGCTTCTCTCGTTACCAACTGTCAGAGTGTCATGTGGTGCAAGTTAGTTCACATCCATGTTCTGGTTTCAGAACCACTGGGTTTGTATGTTGTGAAGGACACGAAAAAATACCCATCGCAGGTAAAGATGAGTATCGTTAACATTGGCATAGCGAGGTCAGAAAATGTAGAGCCAAAACACTCGAACACTAAGTGTGTCGTACTTGGTCTACATGCAATCAACAGAATCAATCTCGTCCCTGGCTTGCTCGTAAAGCTCGAGCCTCTTCGACAGCTGAACTCTACGTTCCATCAAAGCAGGGTCCTCGTCCAGCATCGCTGACAATTGCTTTCCCTGCTCAAGTGCAACATAGGTATCAGCCTCACCACCGGACTATTCCAAGTACAATTGCACACACACTCACGCTTGGCTCATCAAAAAGGCCCAGTCCCTTTCAGTATTCACTGAAAAGCTACTCACCTCCCGCTTGCCTATTTGAGTGTAAAAATGGTCCATCAATGACCGCTCCGCTTCACGAACTTAACAGTGGACAGCAGCTTTGAGCATAGAGTTCCTCAGCTGATTGCAAACCATGCCAACGTACGCTGCCACATTGGGACCTGCCACAGCGAAACCCAGCCAGAATCGAATCGTTTGGAGTAATGGAAACCCCTTGAGTTCCTGTAAGAAAGAAGGTTGACATCAGCACACCATTCTTCTTCTCGCTTCCTAGTTCGACTGAAGTCGGTGAAGTACGAGAGTTTTTGTTGTACCAATCAACGTAAACTGGAAAGTGACAACCACCACCCTTGGTGCTAACACGCGACAGGTTCTGATGGTAACCCAGCAAGTAATCAAAAATATTAAACCGTTTAAGTCTCAGACTGGTTCCGAACACTCCCGGACCGATTTTTGAACCAGATCCCTAAGATTGAAATACACCTGGGTTGTCACAGACCATGAATCAGCCCCAACCCCGTGCTACGAACTGGGCTATCCGCAAGTATGCAGAATGTCGTTAAATTCCTCCTTAATGAAAAAATTCCCACGAATGTGAAAAAATAAATCCGTAAAAATGTAGAATGCAACAATCCATATATTGTTGCAAATGAGTGACTTACTGCATCCGGTACTGGCTCCGCTGGGCCCCTGAAAAATTGCAGCGAACGTTTAATGAGCGGCCCTCGACCTTGTTCCGGAGCTACAAGATGAGCTGGTTACCATAGGCCTCCGATACAATCCCTCGGACATTCTGCTCAGACAGATGCTTGTCAAAAGGACACTCCTTTGGTGCAGCTTGTAGTTGATTGTCAAGCATTCCCACCAGAAGTTCTACGGTACGCAACAACCTCAGCAAATAAAAAATGCTCATTAACTTTCTGCCCCTTACCTCATAGTCAGAGGCTTGAAAAATCCATGCATTACTGCAGCGCTACTCAAGCAACGAGTGGGTCGCATCGTTCAAATCTCGAACCAAAAACACCAGTGACAATGGTCTTGCCGCTCCATCCAGATGGACTTCGAAGGTTTTACCGCCCACACCCAACTTGTCTTGACGAAGAGTGCATGTGATGCCATGTCCGCTCGTCACCGAGACCTTCAAGTAAAACCAACTTCAGATCACATGTTCATTCCACCCATTAACCAGTCCTCATTTACATCAAGGGCATACGTTCCCTTGTCCTTCAGATCCAACTTCGTGAGAACACCAAAAGTTATCTCTCCTGCAAATTCACACCCACATTACCGAACCATGAAACTTAGAAAAAGCTCTGCTCCAACCATGACCCACACGGAGCTGATAGTTAAGGTAAAACAGCGCATGCAGAGGAATTAATAAGTATTGGGCCACTGTCATAGCTGCCACGTCCTTGTTGAACGCAAACCTCAGAAGTAGGTTCATGCTCAACACAAAGCAGTCCGCAAGATAAAAGAGGAACCGAACAAGAAATGTTAGTATGCTGCCACATCCAGTAGGGTCCACTTCTCTGGCAATCTAAACAGCATCTGAAGTGGCGATGCCTTGATTTGCAGGAGACACAGCAAGAACGATTGAATTTGGCTGCAATGACACAAGCATTCAGCACATTCTATTCCCTCAACAGCAGCAATTCCGCAGTTTGATGATATTTTCAAATCTACACAGATAGTATCCGCTGTATAATTCATTTTCATCCTTGAAAAATAACTCACTCAAAATCGGAAAGATGATGCCTACGAACAGGACAGTAAAACTGGTTGCACCTTCTCAATGCAAGAACAGACCATGCTAACAATGTCTTGGCCGATGCTGTCGGATGTACTATCTGCACAACATACTCCTCAGAAACTGAAGATTCTTCAAGAAATAACGTACATTCATTAACATTTACGTCGCTTCTTTTAATACGGACCTGGAAAAGCAGGCGCTAATATATATATATATATATATATATGTGTGTGTGTGTGTGTGTAAGACCCGGCAGGTGGAGGAGAGTCAAATTCGCAACTGCGAATATTGTTGATGCCAATGCCCAGTTCATGCAACACAGAACAAAACAATCAGAGCACTGAAACGTTCCGACTCAAAGCATTACCTTCGAATCTTCCCAAACTACGATGCTAGGGTCAATATAATAAGAAATGTTCTCAAGTGAGTGGCGCGAATGTACAGTTGAGAGGATAAACGCTGAGCTGAGGTGGCACAACCGTAATCCCCTGGCCCCGTCCTATTATTAGGACCCTCTCGTCTAAGATGTCTTTCCTCACGAATATCAGTTGCAAAGCAAATGCTAAACCACTCAACGACAGATCCATTGGCATTAAACTCATGCTTGGCGATCCTCACGAGGAAACTTAAAAAGGACGATTAGCAGGGTTAACTTTAGAACAGTGCTATCAAATCAATGTGTCACCAAAGGATAATGGAGTTTGAAACGTGCTCGAGAACTCTTACCAAACTGATTTTCGGGCATGTGAAGGAAATCTGCATACTCCTGTCTGCAACTGCAAAATCAACGGACGCCTAGTGTTGATTCCTGCCACCACATGTTGCTCATACTCATCAAACCAGAGCAGGTCATACATTATAAAGAACAGCGCTGGTATGACAAGGAGCAGTTCTCGATCACCACAGATATTGCATCTAATGCATACCCTAAGTTGAAAAGCAATGAAAACGGCATTGTTTGATATGAGGTTCATTCACAAAACTGTTGGTGGTTTTAGTTTGTGTGTGTATTCAAGATGGACGATTTTCATGATCGACGTTTGCAACTACACGGTTTGGTGCAATTTAAGAGGGATCTCAGCCAAGATTAGTTCTCTTAGACTAATCCTTCACGTCGAAATTCAAGCCTGGACCTCGCCGATTCGAACGTACTGACAAAGACTGTCTGAACTGCCTACATCATTAAAATATAGATCATGCCGAACTGGAATAGAATTATCATCTGGTCCGACATGAAACAGTTCAAGAACTCGAGTATAAGAATTGAAGAATTGACAAGATCGAAATGCACCTACACTGCTGTGATCACCAAGGGCAATGCAAGCCTGTTCACCAGCCGAATCAAATTATCCACCTTTGTCGTCTGTACCTCACAACAGCTCCCCACGCCTGCGAGTCACGTCCCACCAAATGGCATCGGGAATGCCACCCGATTCATCAATTTAGCAACTGAAATTATTCGAAGAATATGTGGAGTTTGCACCCAATTTATGAATATGAAAGAACTCTGCTTATGATTAGGCATTCTATAAACGAACCATCCGACTGGCATTTAGGTTGCATCGAGTTAAATCCCCTGTACATACATCTGAACTAAACACGGCAAATCAGATTTTACAAAGCTAGCTTCGTGGAGTCCAAAGCACGCGGCAAAAACTAAACATTCCAGATACTAAAGAATCTCCTTCCTTCTCGCTGCAAATAAACGTTGAAATTGGAATACGCTCGCCAAAGCAGTGGTTCTGCGTTTAAATTTGGATATTCAAAGGCGGAGATCTCTGAGGTGTTTTGAAGCATTTCAAGCTCAAATATAGATTAGAACAAAATTTGATCACCGATGAGCAATAAGTTCATTACTCCGGTTTCCAATGCAGCCCGAACATGTTTGAGAAAAACTCCTCAACTACATTGCGAAAGCCCCCAGACGGTAGGTCTACGTAAGAAAATCCATCCATTAACTGATTCAGAACTAGGAAAATCACGAAAACCAAAGCAGATCAAATCAGGAAGTTTAACTGTTCTTAGAATATGGACCCAATGGCCCGCCTAATGTCTTGGCCAGAAACCCGAACACTCAATCTCAAAACGACTGATACAAGAAATTTTTAAATTATTTTTTAAAAAATAAAAATAAAAATAAAATCATGACCTATATGAGCTCCAACGACCCAACGTAATACCCACCGAAGAAGAAAGAGAAAATAAAGTTTTGTGCGACTGAAGCAGGATGGACTGATTGAGGAGAAGTCTAAGGCAATGGGGGATAGTTTGCGATGGTTACAGAGCACCTACAACTAGGCCTTTAAACTTCGTTGTGCACGATTGAGTCGAGTCTGGAAAGAGGAGGTCCACGACAGGTGATATTAACACGAACCTTGGATGACGACCTGATGGCATATGATGAAATGAATGCACTTGTTGTCACTCTGGATCGTTACACTTGTCCTGAGTAGTACAGCTCCAGGACGATGCATCTCATTTGGCCTGGAAGCGGCCTGGATAGCAGTTAGAAAGCGTATCAAGTGCTACAACTCCTATCCTAAATTTCAAGGTTGTTCTCACCACGGCAGCATAGCCTTCGAGATTGGTTGCGATGCAACGATGTATTCAATTCTTGTGCGAAGGGCTCTATTTTGGTTGTTGCATTTAGGGTTACGACCCATTGGTGAGGGTTGATAGTCGACTTGCGGCTCTAAGCTCACTGAAAAATAATCAGTGTACATTTCCTTTGGGTTCAAATGACAACCATTCAACAAACTAGAGTAAGCTTAGAGGCATATTTTAGAGCATTGGCTTAACAGTCTAATATCTAAAAGACTCGCAACGTCCGAGGAGTTTGTACAAATACACTTGAAAATAATCCAAAAATTGAATTTCGCTTGGTTGTTGGTGAAATCTACAACCTTAATAACATTTACACTTGCGCTTGGATTTTTGCTGTGTTCTGAACCGACTGTAAAATTGCTACATATTTACGGCTACATAACTTGAGTAGTAAGCAGACCATCCCTGAAATACCAACAGCGTGGTCTTGATCTACCTGTTACAAGAATCTAGCTTCTATACCTGCCTGAAGCAAAAGTTAGTCTTCCATCTCATCATCTAAGTCACTGTCTGGTTCTTCAACCCTCATTCTTTTGAGATCATGCTGTTCTGCTCTCGGTACTTCAATGAGAATGTCTGCCTTCTTCCCCGTGACACTGTTTACAAGACCACCGTTGCGTTCCACAGTATATGTGAGTAGGTTCTCTCCAGGTTTAACGTCTATGAAGACGGTGGAATTGTCATCCACTTCATCGTTGATCAGCATCCTTGATAGGTTGGTTACCACTTTGCGTTCTAACCATCTTCGCAGCGGGCGTGCACCATAAACCTGAAGTCCAAGCATCAGAAAACGGTTAAGAATATTGAACACGCACGTCAAATAAAGTATATGTTGCAATGGTCACGTGACACACATAGTTTCTAAAATGTAGCATCTAGCAAGAAGAATGTTGACACAGGGGAAGATACTTACAGGATCGTAAGACTCCGTCAAAACAAGGTCAAGGGCGGCATCGGTGACAGCCAATGCAACGCCCCGCTCTGCAAGTCGCACGGCGACATCCTTCATCTGCATCCTGGCCACCTTACGTAGCTGATCGTGCTTGAGCGGCTCGAAAACTACAATTTCATCCAACCGATTGAGAAGTTCTGGGCGGAAGTGCACCCGAACTTGTTCTAAAACTTTTTCCTTGGCAATATCCATGGACATCATACCACTCAAACCCATGAGTAAATGCTCTGCCCCCAGGTTAGAGGTCATGATGATTACAGTGTTGGTGAAATCACAGTACGGCCTTGGCCATCAGTGAGACGACCATCATCCAGCAACTGCAAGAGAGTGTTGAAAACTGCCGGATGCGCTTTTTTCACTTCATCAAAAAGAACAACACTGTAGGGGCGCCTTCGCACTGCCTCTGTAAGCTGACCTCCCTCCTCGTGTCCCACATACCCAGGTGGGGAACCAATCAGACGAGCAACTGAGTGCTGCTCCATGTACTCGGACATATCCATGCGAACAAGCTGATTCTCTTTGTCAAAGAGCTGCTCAGCCAAAGCCTTAGCCAACTCAGTTTTACCAACACCCGTTGGGCCAAGGAAGAGAAAGGATCCAGTTGGTTGCTGCTGTCGGCCTAGACCAGCCCGTGATCGTAAAATTGCTTCTGCGACAGCCTGAACTGCCTCGTCTTGACCAACAACCCGCTGATGCAGACGATCAGCAAGGCCCAAAAGCCGGGCCTTCTCATTCTGACCCAACCTAGTCACCGGAATTCCAGTCCACCGACTAACGACCTGAAGTACATCAAACGAAGATGTCGTTGGTACAAGGAAAATATAACCAGATAAAGACGGAGAACAATATCAATTCAAAATGTTTGCTAAGGTCTCCAATGCACAAAAATTTGTAATATTTGTTCTTCCTGCGTTAAAACATCTATCATGATCACTATCGTTACGCCTAATCAACTAGGAACACAAGACATGAAGAAGCACACAACAAATCATCGTATTTCGTTTAACATTACCTCCGCAATATGCTCTGGACCAACAGATTCCGTGAGCATAGTGTTCTCTCCAGACTCTTGCTGTTCCATTTTTTGGATTGCCTTGTCCACCTCCACTAAAGCCCCGTACTTAAGATCTGCTGCCCTTGCCAAATCATACCGTCGTTCTGCATCCAGCAAACTGGCTTGAAGATCTTCTCTCTTCTGCTTCAGCTTCCGGAGTTCATCGACCCTCTCCTTCTCTCTTTGATACTTCATTTTCAGAGGTCTCAATTGATCCTCCAAATTTTGGAGTTCCTGTCGTATCTCAACAAGACGCGCCTTGCTGGCTTTGTCCTTCTCTTTCTCCATAGCATGCGCCTCCACCTCCAGCTGAATTCTACGCCTTTCCAAGACATCAATCTCTTCTGGTTGACTATCCAGCTGCACACGCACGTTAGCACATGCTTCGTCTATGAGGTCAATTGCTTTGTCAGGCAAGAACCTGCTCGTAATGTATCTGCTCGAGAGTTGTGCTGCAACAACCAACGCCCTGTCTAAGAGACGGACACCATGGTGCCCTTCATATCGCTCCTTCAGGCCTCGTAAAATACTGATGGTGTCTGCTATACTCGGTTCTGAAACCATGACCTGTGACACAAAATAATCGAAATCAATCCGTCAGCGATCAGACGTTCCTCAAGCATACACTGCAAATTCAGCAGCACACGAGGTAAAGAGTTACAACGATTAGTTTAATAGGCAATAGAAAATTTCCCTAACTTACCTGCTGAAACCGCCGTTCAAAGGCTGCATCCTTTTCGACATACTTCCTGTATTCATCCAAAGTGGTCGCCCCAATGCAACGGAGTTGTCCTCGGGCCAGCATTGGCTTCAGCAAATTGGCTGCATCCATGGATCCTTCCGTACGCCCTGAAATTCCAGATACGATGCATTGAGGTGAGTGTATAAGCTCAATATGTGACTTATATGTGTAGAGTACAGATGAAGCACAATCACAGACAATGAGTTATGAAAATTCGAAGGCACCCCTCACCTGCTCCAAGAACAAGATGAATTTCATCAATGAAAAGAATAACTTTGCCATCAGAATCCTCCACTTCCTTGAGCACTGCCTTCAATCGTTCCTCAAATTCACCTCGGTATTTGGCTCCCGCAACCAAGGCTCCCATATCCAAGGCGACTAGACGTACTTCTAACAAATTGCTGTAAGGCACAACGAAGGTTTTATTATATTTGTTAACTGAAACCTCACTAAAACCTTGGGACCAAAAAAAAGAAGCAGCACTGAGAACATTCTCTGGCTAAATAAGATGTAAGGCATGTCTTGATCCTAAACGAAGAGGTTCTCTACATCCAATCCAGGCAGGAAATAACTTGTAGTGGAAATGTTAATGCAAGACTTACCTTGGCACATCTCCTCTCACAATACGTTGGGCGAGGCCTTCCACGACAGCTGTCTTCCCGACACCAGGCTCTCCAATCAACACGGGATTATTCTTAGTCCTTCGAGACAGGATTCTCACAACTCTCCGGATTTCGTCATCTCGACCGATGACGGGGTCCAGCTTGCCAGCATCCTCCACCAAATCTCGTCCATACTTTTTCAATGCTTGAAAATTAGAATCACCGGTAGCATTATCAACCTTCTTAGAAGATCCTCTCACAGCTTCAAGCTCTCTCTTCACCCTACACCAAACACACACGAGAAAACAGTAAGAAAAACCCTAAAACCCTCAACATTCCCTTTCCAACATTATGAGTGTTCACAATGCCATAGATAGTAGCATACGATAAATTGAAATCTCCCAACTCTTTCTCCAGTTAATTCCGATGAACAAACGACAAGAATGACGGTAAAAATCAAAACACATCGATTTGAACTTCACATACTAAACGCACAAATTCGAGAGATGCAACCCAAACTCACCTAGTTGCACTTACACCCGCCTCTTTAAAGCAATCTGCAATCTGAGTATCCTCGAGTAGCGCCAAGATCAGCTGATCGACAGCCAGATGCGAGTCGCCTCTGGATTTCTGCAAGCTCTGCGCCTTCTTTAAGCATTTAATAAGTGCATTATTCGCAGGGGAAGCATCAGGAGCAGGGCTCTGTGATGGAATTTTCTTCAGCGTGTTCTTCAACACGCGCTCAACAGAATTGATCGTCTGGTCACCACCCGACACAGTGGCAATAGCCTGGCGCAACAATCCTTCATTATCGTTCAACAGAGCAAGAGTCAAATGCACGGGCGTGTACTGCGCATGGCCGGCTTCGGTCGCAAGCTCTTGCCCGGCTGCCAACGCCTCATTCGTCTTGTGCGTAAACTTCTCCGGATTCATGATGCCCCCGAAACTTTAAACCTCCAATCCTCCACCTACACTACAACTAACCCTCAACTCTCTGGAATGCCTCCAAAACCAATACCCTTCCAAAAACCTCAAGAAAAAACTACGTATCAATTCCACCACAACTCTAAACCTCAGCTCTCCAAAAACTTTCCGTAATCAACTGAAGTAAGTTCTTAATTGGAATTCGAACGGAACTGTCACAACGGCTAATAAGTAGACACAAGTCGAAGAATCAACCTAAGGATGGCTACCAAAGTCTCCTTAACCATAACCGTCTGGGTCTGCTGAAGTTTGGACGCCGCAGGACCTGATATACGCTGAATCTAAGCATGATCGCGAGATCCAGAGATGGAGCGAGAGAAATCGAGCCTCGTGTGGAAGCGAGTAGAAGCGAGGAGAAGGCTCTGGAAGCATCTGGAGATAAGGAGGGGGGTTTGTGCATGGTTGAGACGACAAGTAAGCTGCCCATGGCACTGCCATGCTGATCTCTGCCAGTGGGAGTTCGAGCCGCGTCCTACGTGGTCTGTGACGTGGAAGACCTCTCTCGCTCTCTCCACAAATAACAATGCTTTAATCGCTCACTTAGGTTGCCTCTTTCATTTCAAAACAACGCAATTGACAAAGGTTGAAGGTCTGTAAACGTAGTAATTATGTACTGCAAATATCATTATGCTGAAATTGTGAGTTCAACATCAGATGGTTAATTCATGAGGAAGAAAATGAAAAACCAACTATAGAGCATTATTTTTATTATTTTTTATTATTATACATATATGAAAAATTATAATGGAACGATTATTGATTTTTGGGTGTGTTGTAACGTGTAAGTGCATTGGAATCAAAATTCTATATATTACAACTAGTGGTTAAACCCATTGGCTTTGTCAAGGTTCAGTACATTTCTGGTTTAATTAAATTGTGTCCAGTGAATATACAAAAGTACACAAACATGAAAATTTCATAATACATGTAATTTGATATCAAAATACAATCATTAAAAAAATAAACAAACATGTAAAACAATTTTTAGGTGCTTTGACTGATAATGCAACTAACAACCAAAGATTTAAACTTTTGATTTTTTGCAATTCTTTACAGAAGATACAAAACATAAAAATTCAATTCAGCAAAAGAAAACGAAAATAAAAAAAAAAAAAAAAAAAAACGAAAACACAAAAAACACAAAATAGGATGTTAAAACAAAGAAGAAGCCCAAATTATAAATAAATAAATACATAAATAAATAACTTTGTTGATCTTTGTAAATTGCTTTGGTTTAAACAGCTATGACCACATGAAGGTAGCAATCCTAGTAGCTATTTTAGGCTTAACAAATAGAAGAGAGGAATTGATAACAAAGAAAATACTAAGAACAATATCATGTTAAAAGAGGGTAATCCGCAACTTCTAATGCGCTAATGAAGAGCCCTCCACACAAGTTTTTTGATATCAAGTGATCAATTTGTAATCTAAAAATTTCATAATAAATGTAATGTGATATCTGTCAAGGACAAGAACTCGATGAAAGCTAAAGAGTAAGTGAGACTTTTCTCAAAAAGAAATAGGACAAAATAGAAATATGTATATTAAGAAAGAAACTGGAATGGCTATTGCCAAAATACAAGAAAACTAGAGACCCTTGAAACTAGACTAGAAGCAAGAAAGGAGTTGACAAGAGTGAAGAGGGCTTCACTCTTGCCTCTATATATACTATCTAACTAGAAACCACGTGGCGATGTTCTATAAGACCTCCAATATATGTTGACTTTCTAGGCCACATGCCTTTGCTTGCAAGGCAAGTTTTCTATGGATGGACCACGTAGTTAGCTTGTTCTTTAAGCTTCTAACATGCGTGGCACATGGCTAACTTGTTGACCAAGTTTCTAACCTAAAAGTCAACTATAGACTCCTATAAAGTCAAAGCAGCGTCTATGAAGCTTCTAAGAAGCTTCTCTAGAAGATATTACACAATTAACCTACTTTTACATACTTTTATCTATTCATATAGGTAATTATATGTATGTCCGTGACATTACCCCCCCTTCTAGGGACGAGTTCCACGAGGAGCGGTGATTATATATTGAGAAAATCTAATATGCGGCGAATTGTATTTGCTACATACTCTGATCTTTGTTCTCTTAACATAAAAACACATATATACACAATAAATAAATAAATAAATAAAATACCAAAAAATATATAATTTGATATCAAAAAATGACTATTAAAAAGTAAAAAAAATATGTACACAACAATGTTTTAGTGATTTGATTGATAATCCAATTAATGTCAAGGACAAGAACTCGATGAAAAAAATCAATTCAAATAAGTGAGCCTTCATTCAAAGAAAGGTAACAAAATATAAATAACCAAGTATGTATATTGAAAGAGAAACTGGAATGGCTATTGCCAAAAGACAAGAAAACTAGAGACCCTTGAAACTAGACTGGAAGCAAGAAAGGAGTTGACAAGAGTGAAGAAGGCTTCACTCTTGTCTCTATATATACTATTTAACTAAGGGCTACGTGGTGACGGTCTATAGGACCTCCAATATGTGTTGACTTTGTAGGACACATGCCTTGACTTACAAGGCAAGTTTTTCTACATGTGGGCCACATAGTTAGCTTGATCTTGAAGCTAACAACATGTGTGGCACATGGTCAACTTGTTGACCACGTTTCTAATCCAAAAAGTCAATTAAAGACACCAATGAAGTCAAAGTAGTGTCTATGAAGCTTCTAGAAAGCTTCTATATTAAATACTATAGAATTAACTTACTTTTACCTACTTTTACTTACTTCCACCTATTTATATATGTAATTACTAGCTTATTGTCAACGACAAAGACTCGATGAGAGAAAATATACACAAAAAGGCTATCTCGATATAATAAGTCAAAATATAAACAAGTAGGTATATTAAAAGGAAACTGGAATGGCTATTGCCACAAGACAAGAAACTAAAGACTCTTGAATCTAGACTAGAAGCAAGAAAGGAGTTGACAAGAGTGAAGAAGCCTTCACTCTTGTCTCTATATATACTATCTAACTAGGGGCTACGTGGCGACGTTCTATAGGACCTCCAATATGTGTTGACTTTGTAGGACACATGCCTTGACTTACAAGGCAAGTTTTTCTACGTGTGGGCCACATAGTTAGCTTGATCTTCAAGCTAACAACATGTGTGGCACATGGCCAACTTGTTGACCACGTTTCTAATCCAAAAAATCAATTAAAGACACCTATGAAGTCAAAGCAGCGTCTAGGAAGTTTCTAGGAAGCTTCTATATTAAATATTATACAATTAACTTACTTTTATCTACTTTTACTTACTTCTACCTATTTTTATATGTAATTATTAGCTTACATGATTATGGCCGTGACACTTATATGAGTATGTCCGTGACATTACCCCCCCCTTCTAGGGACGAGTTCTACAAGGAGCGGTCATCATATGATGAGGAAATCTATGATGTAACAAATTATATTCGCCACTTACTCTCATCTTTGTTCTCTTCGAAAATGATTGATAGGACCTCTCAACCATCGATAGTCTACAATACTAGGGCGGGAAAACCACCCAGTTATTTGATCATTGTTGAGGCTTTCATAACTTCCTTCGAATAGAACATTTGGAACACCATCAGGAGTTGTTCCTATCTCTAGCAAAATCACCAAACATTGGGAGTCCCTTCCCAAATTGTGATACAAAACGCGTTGTATCTCGCCATCTATTCAAGGAAGAACATGTCATTCTTGAAGATCATCATCTCGATTGCGTCGTCTTGAAGGTTGTGACAATCGTAATATCTCATTTGGTAGGTCAATAAATGAAGGTTCTTGAGTCAAAACCACTAGTTGTTGGTTCTCCATCTCCTGAGCATCACAACTACAAAAAAGCTACGAATAAGGATTGAAAGTAGAATGTTATCTTGCCTAGATGTTATTTTTTTTATAAAGAAGGTTTTTATCTTGATTTTGATGGATGTCATCGATGAAAAGCCTCCACCGCCTTTGCTACATTTGCAAGATTCTTTATTGGCTCCCGTGTATATTTACTAATATCATATCCGTGCCAATGGACAAGATATTCTAATTTATTTCGGTGCTGCCTTGAATCTAAGACTTCTTCTACTTCAAACTCTTTATTATTGTCCACTTCTATAGAAGGAGGTGGAGCTTATCGTCTTCTTGGTATGTCCACTATCTTGTATGGTTCAAGAAGAGACACGTAGAATACTGGATGGATTTTCATTGACTTTGATAGATGTAAACAATATGCAACTGGATTGATTTGTGTAAAAATAGAAAATTGTCCAAGCCTTCAATAGTCCAACTTGCCACAAGGACGAGTGGTCTTGATATTGCGACGAAGTAGCTATACCTTATCACCCAAGAGGAATGGTAGTTGTTCCTTTCAAGAGACATCCACATTGACCTTTTGTTGTTCTTGAGTTTCTTTTAACTGCGCCTTCATCATTGCATGTAGCTTTGATAAATGAATCGCCAAAGCTTTTGCAGCAAGATTATCAACTTTTGAAAATTCAAAAGTATCAAGTCGTGGATGATAACCATAATTAGCAAAGAAAGGTGTTTCTTTTGTAGGAGAATGTACCGTGTTATTGTAAGCAAACTCTGTCAATGGCAAAAGAGTTGTCCAATCATCTTGTTGGTAGTTAATGGTACATCTTAAATATTGCTCCAAAACTTGATTAACACGCTCTTTTGTCCATCAGTTTGAGGATGGAATGCCGAAGATAGTTTTATATCCACTTTAAGAATCTTGAAAAGAGTCCGCCAAAATCTTGATACAAATTGAGTTCTTCTATCTGATATAATATCCTTAGATAATCCATGATAGTGATAGATATTATCAAGAAAGAGCTTAGCTATTTCTTCACCTGTAATAGATTTTGTACATGGTACAAAATGTGCCATCTTGATAAAACGATCTACTATCATGAATATAGAGTCATATGAACCTGAGATTGGAAGATCCGTGATGAAGTCTATAGAAACAGAAAACCGTGGTTGTTCTGGAATGGATAATGGCTGAAGAAGTTCAAAAGGTCGATGACGAGGAGTTTTTGATCTCGAACAAATATCACAAGATTGTACAAAATCTTTGATTGCTTTCCACATTTGAGGCCACCAAAAATCCCTGGATATTAGTTCCAAAGTTTTATTGTATCCAAAATGTCCTGCTACTGGGAAGTCATGACGAGCTTAAAAAATACGTAAACGTGCTTCTCCTTCTGGAACATATAGGCATCCTTCAAAATAGAGTAGGTTATTCTTGAATTCAAATTTAGAGAGATTATGAGATTTAGAAGAACTATTCTTGATATCATGAACAAAAGGGTCTAAAGACATACTTAACTGGACTTGCTTGAAAAAAGTTAAATCAAC